AAAATTAAACACTATCTAAAGATTTGCATCGAAGCGTTTATTTTTGATAGTGATTTTAATCACTGTCAGATATCATTATACTTGATCCAACTATACCATGTCACAACTGTGCCGCGACCCCCCTGTGCTGGGTTTTTTTAATATGGTACTCTCATATGGTAGTAATATTTTGATGTAACTTTGACATAATAATTCTTTTTCATCACATTGAAAATCATTAATATTTTTCAAACATACTGATACAGAATTTATGCTGCTATGGTATATTTTTAAATGACATTTTTCTTTTAAATATGTCCCTATTGAACAATTCATTATTCGAAATATAAAAATGATATAGTTACAACTAAACAGTTTAAAAATATTACGTAAAAATAAAGTTATGAAATTAGCAATGGTAAATCAAGCTGTATTAAATTCAAATTGTTGAATGAGTAACTAAACATGATACTATATGTTACATTCCACATGCGAGTTAACATTGATCGTTATGTACATTACTAGTCTATTAAAGAGGAAACTTATCTTATAGTAGGCCAAAAAAGAAAAACTAATTAAAATCAATAATACATCTAAATAAAAAACATATACAACTACATATTTCTGTTTCATACATTTCTCGCGATTTGATAAAGTAGATCATTACGGATTACATTGTGACGAGAAATTAATGATATCACATCTAAATTCCATAAAACATGTCATGAGCCACAAATCTTACAATAATGAATTATACTTTTAAACCAATTTAATTATTAATAAAATGTCAGTCATAAAAATGATAAAACATTGAGTTTTTGCAATGATTTACAATATAATAATAAAAAAAAAAAAGGGATTTTTCAAAGCTAATTTTAAGTTGGTTTCAGTAAAACACCAAAGTTGAAAATTTTACCATAGAAAGTCAGCATGTGTAACAACATTGTGTGAAATTTTTATGATTTAACTTTAAATAAGTTAAAATTGCTTCCTAAAAATCGTTATTTTAGAAATTTGAACTTTTTTATACTTGTGTTACTAAAAAAAGACCAAAGTAAAAAAATTGTATTCCATCGTTAATTTTAATTTTGAAAATGTCATTTTTTTACAAAAACAATTACTAGACATGTTAGTAAACCTCATAATGAAAAAGTGATGAAGTTTTAAAGTCTTTAGTATAAATACATAGGTTTCAGGGATATTTTTAAGAAATACCTGTATTTTGCAAATTCAAAATTTTTCAGGTCATAAATCTACTTTCACCTAAAAATTTTTTTTTGGAAATTTTTTATTTAAACACTAGGTAACTCATGTGTAAAATTAAAATAGTCGCGCAACCACTCTGGATGATTTGGTATGGATTGACCCAGTTTGCAACAAGTTAGTTCTAACGAAATATTAATGCTAAAAAATGCTAATTTACACAAAAAGTTGCCATTTTTAAAGTCATTTAAGTAAAGAATTTCACATAATTTTTTTTTTTTTAATTTTAAATTTTAGTTATTATGAGTTCAATTCTAAAATTTAAATTTCATAAAATTAATTTTAATTAGCTGTATTTTTTAACGTTAAAACTGTTTTTAACATTGTTAGATATAACCATAACAATGTTAAGGTCATAAAAAAAAAAAAGTAGTTATAATCTAAATACTGCATAAAGAATAAATCCTACAAAATTAAAAAAATTTTGGATGATTTGCCATGAATTGACACAAACCAAAAATGAATTATTTAAGTAAACTCAATAATAAATACTTTTTTGGTATAAAATTGGATCTCACTGTGTTAATCATAATTTTGTCTAATTATAATAATAACAATGCCTACTTGATTTAAAGGTTATATATATATATATATATATTTGTTTAGATGAATTAGAATTATTTTAAAAGAAAAAAAACGTTTAAAACAATCATGAATAAAGAAAACTTACTTGAATAATATCCAACAATTGTTAATTTAAAAACTATCAGCTAATTGTTAAACTAAAAATATAAATTATTGGTTAATTAATAATATAAAATTTTGAAAAATGCATAATTATCTTAAGTAGGGTTGGTGTAAATGAAGATATTTCTCATTCAAAAGTACAATTAAAAAGAAAATAATCAATGCACGTATATAATATACGTATAGTAATATCATTAGTGTATAACCGGTTATTAATCAAAAACGATATTTTAATTTAAGGATGATAATTTTTTATCAAAGTTCATATGTTTTTACCATGAGTTTCCCATAATTGGAACATTAGAGATATATTGATTCTTTCTTCCATGAGTAAAAACAGTGTACGTATGTGTATGTGCGATTGTGTATGTGTGTGTTTAATAATTTTATTGTGAGTTGTGACTTTTGTGCAATTATTTTTTTCTTACATAACTATAAGTCTACTAATTATGAATTTAAGTTGTATTTTATAGTTAGACTATTCAAATGCGATCCCTGGATTGAAGAGCATTGTCGATTACGTTATTCGATCTCATTGATACCATTATTATCACTGTATAACTAAATATTTATGTCGTATAGAAATGTATATTTAATAATTAAAAAGCAGTTGTAAAATTAAATATCTTTGTGTTCTTAAATTCTTAAGAATATTAGTGATCTAGTATTATGGGACGCAAAAAGAAGAAGCAGTCCAAGCCATGGTGCTGGTATCCTTTTTTAATAGTATATTATGTAATGATAATTTTCAAATTTTACTTAATGAACGTCAAATAATTTATCAATTTTTTTTATGGATTGATTTTAAAAGATTAACAAAATTAATTATTTTTGTAACTGTAATTACTTTATTAACTTCTATAATTTAATTTAACTGACCAATATTTTATTTTATTTTTTTCATTTTAATTATTTTAATATTTCTTTGTTCATCAGAATTAATACTAGTTACAGACTATTCATATAATTATTCTAAATATGTTAATAGTAGCTGTTACAAATTATTTTGTAAGCTTGCCAAATGACATGGTTATAATAAGGTGAGGGTAAAAATTTTTTTTAGTTTTCATATTTGAGTTATTGCCAAATACTATTTTCACTCAAGTTACTGGATTATTTTAAATATAACATAGTAACATCTTTGTTATTTTAGTCAAGAAAAATTTTAATAAACTGTAATTGTTCCTTAAGTTATATTCAGGTATTGTAATAGAGAATTTGATGATGAGAAAATCTTAATACAACATCAAAAAGCAAAACATTTTAAGTGTCATATTTGTCATAAGAAATTGTATACGGGACCAGGATTATCAATTCATTGTATGCAGGTTAGTTAAATATTTCTCAAACAAAAGTTTTTGTTTCTTAAGTTTTAATTATATTATAACTATATAATAATTACATAGATTATATAATTATTATAGATGGATGAAAATTTTTAAAAGTATATATTTGTTAAAGGTTCATAAAGAAACAATAGATAAAGTACCAAATGCAATATCACAACGGTCTAATATTGAAATAGAAATATATGGAATGGAAGGTATACCTGAGGATGACATGAAGGAACATGAAAGACAAAAATCTGGTGGTAAAGGTATATGTTTTTGCAATAAGTTGTATGTATTTAATTAATAAAATAAAACACAGACTTGGTTGAATTTGAACTAGGCAATTGCTAAAATAAGACTTCTTGGTATTTTATCAAATATAAAACAATTATCAAATGGTGTATTAAGGATTTAGGCTCCTAGGTTCAGTTTGTATTTGATGTATTTATTTTATTGAGCAAAAAACCATTTTTTCAGCTTATCTCAAAACAAATTTTTGTCTTAAAATTCTTAAAGTATGCATAAACAAAAAATAATTTATATAGTTAATATTAATTAATTAAGTTATTTAAATAACTTTTATACTATTATGTAGATAATGAACTAGATAAAATTTTGAAAATAAATATAACTATATTTAGTGTATTTCTATTAAAAAATAATTATTTAATATAACAAGTAGAGGTAATATTCTTAACAAATTATACTTAATGTTACTTTAATGATTGTAATTAGAGACCATATTAAAAATATAGATTATGAGTCTTGCAATATTTTAATCTAAACCAGTTCTTTATAATAAATGGGTGTAATTTAACTATTTTTATTCATCTCAAACAATTTTTCTTTTAATTAGGTACACGATCAGATAGTGATGATGATAGTGGTCCACCAACAAAGAAAAAACCTGAATATTCAAATTCTGCTGGTCCATCTGTAATGCCTCCTTTTAATCCTATGATGAATCATTTACAACCGATGGCTCCACCTTATATGACACCAGGGTAAACAAAATTAATTTTATAATTACGTGAAAAATTATTATACTTAAGAAATTCAGGTAAAAAAATTTAAATGGTTTTTTTTTCTTGTAATTTGAAGTTTTTATATTGATTAAACTTGTCAAATTTGTTGACTGTTAACTGAGTAAATTTCAACAATTTCTGTCAGCTAAGTGACCTATAGCCCCTCTAATTGTGCTTTTGCAAATAGCAATAAAAATTACTTATATTTTCATACTTTAAAATGGTGTTGTTAAAAATTAAATATTTACACAGACAATACCTATTTTACATTTTACGGTATTTATATAGATACTGTAAGGAATTTTAATGTTGACTCCATATATGATTTCAGATTTTTTTCCATTATATTTAGTGTTTGAAATAACTACTACTTTGTAATTTTCTAAAGTAATTTTTTGATGTTAAAAAAAAGTTGTATAAAATTTAAGGTTTACCAAAAGTTATATTACTATCAACAATTAATTTACTACTAATAATTTTAGGATGTCAATGATGGGTCCATCAGTATCTGCTGGACCTATGCCTTCAAATCAACCTGGTAGTATAGCAAACAAACCTTTGTTTCCCAGTGCAGCTGCAATTGTAAGTTTTTTATTTGTGAATTTTTTCATTAGAATTTTAGTGAACATAATATTGTACTAAAGCTTACAGTATGGGGAAATTGAAAATTATTTTACAAACGAAATCATTTTTTCATAATTATGTAACTTTTTTAAATTATTATTTTTTGATGGCATTATGTTGTAAAATTGTGGAGTAAAAAGAGAATAAAACCCCCACAGTACTGTTCCCTCTCAGAATGACTTTATATAGTTTATTTTATTTAAAAAAACAAACATTTTTTAATTAATATTAATACTTTGTGTTAATTTTAGCTTCGATGCTAAGCTTATAAGGTATTAATTTTACTATGATGTGTTTTTTTTTCCTTTACCACTTTTTCTTAGCTCTCACCAAACCGATTTCTTTCAAAGATACATCAAAAGATCACAATCAAAAGCTAATGTAATATATTTTATCATGGAAAAAAAACATTACAGACTGTATTTTGTTTACAATTGAAAAAGTTTTAAATCCTCTCTATTTGCAGGTAAAGGGTCAGATTTATAAAAAAAAAATATACCAAATGATAGGTAAAAACTTCATGCATCTATAAAAAAAAAAATTGTGTTGATTTGGTCATTTTTAAAAAAGTTATGGCAGTTTTAATTTTAAAAAATGTCAAAAATTATTGATTTTTAAATTTGTAATTTTTTTGAAGATTTCCCCCATTTACGGGGAACGAGGAAAATTTCTAGAATTTTTTATGGTAATGTCTTTAACTAGATACGATTTGTTAACTTTTGACGTATCGTTGAAAGAAATCGGTTTGGTGAGAGCTGAGAAAAAGTGTGGGCGGTGATCCGGAAAGTTTTAGTGTAGCGAACAGTGTCCAGAGTGGCGACGGGTATCCTTTCGTCACTGCTGCTTGCCCGTCCCTCAAACCCAAGGACCGACTGGCGCTCAGGCGGATGATCATGCTCCGGTGGCGGACTCGCCTCTCGGAGGAAACAATGAAAGGCGAGTGGACCAGGTCCCTCATAAGACCCGATCGGCTGGACAGGTGGGTGGACCGAACTCACTGTGAGATAATTTATCGTCTCACCCAAGTGATGTCCGGCCACGGCTGCTTTAACGAGTACTTACAAAAAAAAAAAATAAAAACACATCATAGTAAAACCAATACCTTCTCAGATTCGCTTCGAAGCTAAAAATAGTAAAAATTGGACAATGAATTGAGTAGAGTAGTAATAGTTGGAAAATCTTAAATACAAAGTTGATGTTGTTAGTTAACTGAAATCATTTTTTATAAAAATTGTTAAATATGTTTTAATTTTATATGAATTAACATAATTGTAGATTTTAAAAATTTAATAATGTATTTCATATTATAATATTATTGTAATTTTGCTCTAATCCGTACAATTATCTTACAAATGTTAAAAGATAATTATTAAATACCAATATAAATATTTAAATTTAAAATTCAATTGGTTATAATTTTATTATTAAACTTGTTTTCATTAGTTAATTGTACCTAATTTAACCTGACGTGAATCACTGAAAGTCCAGTAATCATATCAACATCATTTAAGGAATAGGCACTTACTGAATATTTTTTTTTTATTAAAAAAGTTTAAAAGCAGTTATGATTATTTTTTTGTTTAACTAAAAAAAAGAAAAACTGTAGTTAGTTCTTTTTTTATTAGAAGTATCGATATGACTACTGATCTCCACTGAGAGTATGTTGTTTTATAATTATATACTTTCTAATATAAACAAAAAACTGATAAAAATTGTAATTATCTATAAAATATGAGTTAAAAAAAAATACTAGTTTTATAACTGCTTATTTAACTTTTCTAGTTTTAAATTTATGAATTTAGTCTATGTTTATCATGTTTATGAAAAAATGATTTCAGTTCTTGATAGTATTTATTAAATTTACAAATTTATTGTAGTTTTACTTTTCACCTATAATAAAAGATATCATCAACTATGATAATTTCTAGTGATATTCCATAATTATTTTGCTTATGTTTAAGTATAACCTACAGATTATAATCTTAGTGAATATTATGAAAATGTATATATTATATACTTTTTTAAATAATACTATTGACTTGTTACTGAAATTAATTTTTTTGTAGGTTAACAATTCATCAGATAACCGAACAAGTAGTACTATGCTATCAGGCGGCCAAGTTGGAAGTTTAAATAAAACTTCATTTCCTGCTTATTCAGGGTAAGTTTTATTTTAAATTGTACAGGAATAATTCTAAACTCATTCATTTTTTCAATAGAAATGATAATGACTCAAAATCAAAATTACTTATTAGTTCTACTGGTTCATCAAGTAAAATTATTCATCCAGCAGAAGATATTTCTTTAGTAAGTCTTAAAAATATTTAATTATTTTACAAAGTGTAATTCTTACCTGAAAAAGTAGAGTATTGTAGGGATTCAGTAAAGTATCTGATTTAATTAATGTTTTAAAATGCATTAATTTATACTTGAAAAAAGATTTATTAAAAAAATGTTAACATATTTATCAAAAATCACATAGTTTTTTACTTAAGAAGTTGATTATTTATAGAAGAATAGTCACTGGAATGTTTTTAATTTTTTTAATCATATATTATATTAAACAAACTTTAATTTTAGAATGATGTAAGTTTCTCTTATTATGCAAAACACTTCAAAATCGTCCATTTTGGCAAAAATTGTTTTCTTGAATTATGAACTTATACTTATTTTTATTTTAGGAAGAGCATAAAGCTCGTTTCCCTAAATATGTCTCTCGTATAGACATTCAATCTACTCTACCTAGCAGCATTACAGAGCAACATAAACTTGGTCCACCCCTTATGTCTCCTCATGGACAAGCATCTCCTCAAACTCAGCAATTGCAACAACAACAGCATCATCAGCAGCATCAACAGCAGCAACAACAACAACAGCAACAACACCATCAACAAGCTATTCAAAATGAGGTTAGATTAAAAATTATATTAAATATTCATATTGAAATTTATGATTAATTAAATCCTAAGAGGAAATAAACCTCATCAAACATTTTAAGGTCCGTTAAAATGTTCCATTGACGGATGAAACTGCTAAAATCATTAAGTTATTTTATTTGAGTCAACTCATAATTTGTAAGTACAAAAACAAGTGATTTTAGGGCTGAAGTTAATTTAAGGCATACCAGATGGTCCAGTTGGTTGTGACAACTCTAATAACTTTTAATCTTGTCTATATTATGAGTTAGTTTTTTTTTTTAATTGTTATACATTTGTGCTATAAAAACTTTATGATTAAAAATATATATATATTTTTTTTACAAAAAATTTTAAAATAAATTTTCAAGATAGCAATTTTGTAGAGTAGATTTCATGAAAAATATATTTAAAAATGTTTTATTTTATATACTACAAAAGTTATTTACCCATAACCAGTGTTTAGTGTGAAAATACATTTTTTCTGTGCTTTTCATATTAAACACATGAAAATTCAAATTTTCACAAATTTAAAATGCCATAGATAATTTACTACTGAACATTAAAAAAATATTTTTTTCTTATAAACTACTCTACTAATAGACTATTTTAAAAATGTTTACATTTTCTGTAAATTTAAAAAGAAATTAATTTTTTCAATAAACAAAAAAAATATTTATTTTTTCATTTTTATAGTCCTATTATCATTACAATTATTTAAAAAAAAGTAACTTAAAATATTAACTGGATCAAAAGTTATTAAAATTGTCAGAACATACTGAACTATCTTGTATATATACACATTATTTATTTTTTATTTTATGTTATTGTCGCAAAAATTTTTAATGTCATTATTAGATTATAAGAAAAATAGTATAAATTAGCAATCTTTAACAAAAAGAGTCAAATGAACTAAAGTGAGTAATTTCTAGCACTTTTGATTTAAATTTGCATCTGCTCTTAAAAGCTTATTATTTTTTTTATACATATTCATGTATTAAATAACTCGAGTTTGTATGTTTTTTATTAATGAAAATTTTTAGTTATATATAATTATTTTTCCAAAAGGAAATTAATCTGTTAGATTTTATAAATAAGGGGTCAATTAGAAGAGAGTAGGTTCATTAATGTCATGATTGCAGAATTTACAATCATTCTTATCATATATTAAAAATTTCTTGTGGCTTTACTACTAAGACAACATTTAATTACTTTTGTTAGAAATATTGAGTTTACTATACATTTATATTTAATACAAAAACTATGAAAATTGTATGGTAAGATGAATTTACATACCAACAGTAACACTCTTTAAAATTATCAATTTTGAAAGCCAAGTCAAGTATAATGTAATATGTATTTGTATTATTCAGTTAAAATTCTTATATTATTTAATGTAAATAATTTTGGTTAATGAATATTGTAGGTAAGGTCTTCTTTTTGTTTCATAAAAAAAAAAACTATACTTATTAAATTTTATTAAACATAATTTACAATACCAAATTTATTAAACTTAAGTTAAATATGTTTAATAATTAACTAAAAAGTAATATCAATTTATAATGCATTGAAATATTTCACCTGCTGTGCACCTATGCTGTATTTATTAATTAAAAACAAATTAATAATTGTAGATGGAAAGACAAGTTGCAGCTATGGCAGCAGTTATGCAGCAACAACAACAGCAACAACAAAGGTTTTCTGCGCCTGTTATATCAATGCCAAATATGATGCCTCAACCACCAACTGTATTTATGGCTCAACAAATGCCTGCACTTTTACGACCTTCATTGGGAGGTATGCCACCTCATCCTATGAACATGCTTAGACCTCAAATGCCAATACATCCAGGTAATCTATTAGCAGTTGTATTTTTGAAAAGTTTTTTTTTTCAATTAAAAATATATCTTTATTAAAAGTTAATATATTGTTACATTTAACATTCTCTCTTGAAAACTATTGATTGTGGTAGAGAGAATGGGGAATCCTATATATTCAATTTGGAAAACTTCTTACTTAAGTCATTATTTTGTCTGTAGGACTGATGGTAAATCCTCCAATGGTTAATCCTTATGCACCTGGTGGACCTATGGGCTTTCCAGGAGCTCAAATGTTAGCACCAATGATGCATCCACGCTTCAGATGATCAGGTTTGTTGGGGGGCGTATTACTAGTGTACAACACTCCCCCATCACTTTTGTAAGTTGTTAATTTTTTTTTTTTTTTTTTTTTTTTTATGAATATAAAACCAAATTGTTAATTTTTATTTAAAAAAAAAAAAAATTATAAAGCTATTTCCTATGTAGTATTAGGATTGTATTTGATTACAATCTCGTGGTTTTCCATAAAAATAAATTTTAGTCTAATTTTATCTATTTAATTTCATTAATTGTTAAAGGTTTTGTATTGTCCCAAATTTTATTAAATTAGTTGACACGTTTCTATTCACATAGTTTTGTTTACAGAAAAAGAAAAAATTTCGAATAATTACTAAACCCAGTTTCAATGAAAAAAAAATCAGTAAGTCCTTTTTTTTATGTAAATGCTCTCAATCCCCGGTTTCGTTCTTTAGATTTTTGTTTTTTTTTTTTCTTGAATTTTTTTTTATATTTCCATAAATAGTTTGGTAAAAATGTCACACAAATTTTTTGTAGAACGTGTGTGGTAGTCTTAATAGGTGTGACGTGGATTTCTTGAAAAAAATTTGTGCTAAGCATATAATGCACAGCAACTATTGTCTATATAAATATAATAAAAATTTTGTATTTTAATTGTTTCTATAGTGTTATGTCTGAAAATGAGTAAGTAATTATACTCATTTATAAATTAAAGTAAACAAACTCATTGCTTATATTTTACAAAGGCGTGTTTTTAGGTATAGATAAAAGCACTGACTTATGTCCCAGATGACACAACTCACAGTTCTATAACCTTCGGTATGTTTTTTCATTTTTTAATTAAAAGATAAGGTTGATGAAAAGTGTTTCATTTCTTACTAACCAATTATATTTAGATTTATTATTGTAAAAAACCTAAACTCTTATATTATTCTACATCTAACAATTGTCTGTCATTACATTATAATTATTATTATTGACTATGTATTAAGTTCGTGTATAATTCAAGGTAAGAAGTTATTTGTTAATTGTTTTGTATAATAATAAAATACATTGATAATGCACTGTAATCAGATATTTTTTACTGGAATATTTGATTTAATGCTGTGCATTATTTATTATTATAATTTTTAAATAAATGTAAGTACTAAAATATAATCAAAAAATGGTTCAGTTATTTATCAAGTGATTCCTCATTTTATAGGTGAGTATCTAAAATTAATTATAAAGATATTATACATGAAACCATAATTATCTAATGTGGTTTGTTAAATTTAAAATAACTGATATTTTATTATATTCTCTAAATAATATTCAAAACAAAAATTTCATTAAAATAACTTAAATCCTGTTACATGATTAAATTTTTTTATTTTATTTTTTTTTCTGATTTGGAAATAGTAAAATACTTTAAAAAATATTTTTTAGGAAATCGTTAAGTTAAACTTACATAATTATCAATTTTTGAAAATTTAGTATTTTATTTTAATGATGCAAACTTTAAAATCAATGTTTTAAAGCTGATGAATATTACTACCACTTAAAATCAGGTATTTGTTTATCTGTTTATATCAAGACCTACCATCCAAAAGCTACAGTTCGCTACTAGAGGTTGGTCGTTGTGGTCACAGTGAAGCTGTTGGATCCAAAATTGGGTCCCCTGTTTGACCTCAGGCGAGGCTAAACCTCACAGCTAAACTGTTGGACTTGTATCGACAAGTCCCCTGTTCACCACGACAGGCGACACATAAATTATATTAAAATTTAAAAGAGTAAATTCATGTTTCTGGTCTAATTATACATCGTTTTTAGTGTAGTTTTGCATGTTATATGCGATAAAATAGGGTGTAAGTGGAATATTTTGTTATATGGTTGTGGTATTTAAAATAAAAAATTAATTACTTTGCTTTGCATTCTTCTTGGGCATATAATTAACAATTTTTTCTTATTTAAGATTAAAATCAACTTAACTGTTTTAGGTCGGGGAACTTATTGAAGCTTTAAACTACATTTAGATCTTTTATATAAACTAACTGATAATTTGTTACTTATTTTTTATATTCTTGGTGCATAATTAAAGAAAATAAACAAAAACTATGATATTTCTTATCTTCATATTATTATTTAACATTTAATTTAAAAATGTTTATTTTTGCAAATTCTTTTCTTCCAGTGGCATATTTACGGGGTTCATTGTGGTTCGGACTTTTCCTCCGTGGATATAAAATCATAATAGTGAAGGGATTAAGCTCTCTACTACTCGACGTTCTAAAAGTTAACTGACCTCCCATACAAAATTTCTAAATACGCTACTACTCCCTTCTTTTTAACAAATTAAAATTATGTGATGAAGATGTAATTATTTTTGTTATCTAAATGTATCAGGATTTTTTTTCTTCCTCAAACAAAATTTCAATGATGCTATTGGTTTTAGCACAGTTATTATTAACTCTGTTAAACTTTTATATTATAAATAACATTTTTTATTATTAAATTTCATTTTAAATTAACTTTAAAAATGTTTCCGCTTATGCAAAACATTATAAAAAACATATTTTTAATTTTTTATGTATCTATATAATTATATAAATTTGGATATAATAGTAAAAGGGACGTTTGTTAACCATCTTGAAGGTTATTCCCTCATTTTAAGCCTTGCAATTGTATTATATCAAAGTTGAATAATATTCATAAATTAAGGAATCCGATCGTTGTGTCTAATTGTCTATAAAATGTATTGTTGGAGATTGTGTTGTACAAAAAGTGATCGGTTTATCAAAAAAAAACTTTAAAATTAAAAAAACCATTCTCTATTAACTTTATGTTTTCAAATGGTAACATTTACATTGACAACATACATAATTATCCAGCTTATTTAATAGATAATGATAATGATATTAATAATAAAATGACTGGTCGATAATAACTTTTCGGACCATTATTTTAGAAGTTATTAACATTTTATAGTGTTGGGTGGAAATTAGACGCTGGTATAAATTTTAAGGAATGATTCTAAAAAGTAATTAATAGCTAATAAATATAAAAATATATAACAAAAATTTTCTAGCGAAGTATCGAGTGGTTTATAATAAACCGATCACCGATATGGCAATATTATTCTTAGGCGTAAAAAAACAGGTAAGTTTATGAATGTATAGACCGTGGCTTATGGAAATCTATTTTGAGCCTTCGTGTCTAGGAATCCGCTTAATTATAAGTTCATTTTCATATTAACGATTTTTAAGTGCGTATTCCTTTGTATTGAATGGGTGTTTTGTAGAATGCAATCCTAGTGTTAATAAATACTAGTTATGAATTCTGCTATTTAAAGTTTTTTTAAAAAGCTAACTATTTTGAATAAACACCTTACGTGTTAAATATGTGTTTAGTGTAACACAAATTGAAGTGAATAATAAACATTCTAAAATGGGAAATTAATTCAATAATGTGGTCCAACTATAATTATAGTTGAACTAATTATATGTTGATCAGTACCACTAATATTTTTTTATACATTTAAGAAAGCCATCTACCAATTTTTATTTTCTATACTAAATTTAGAGGGTTTATTTTATCACAATGTATTTATTTTTTGTTTTGAAAATATTCTGGAAATAATTCGAGCTTCAAACAAATGTTAATTTAAGTCTTATAATACATAATGTAAGTTTAAAAATATTTGTCTGCTATATGTAAATGGCCCCCGAAGATAAATAAAAAATATTATTTTGGTTTAAATAATCCTTGTATTTCGTGATGTTATAATTTTCTACTTAACTTTTTTTTTTTTCAATTATTTATGTCTATTTTGATCAAATACTATAGACACATAGGTAAGGGTGATAAGTATCCCATTTAATAATAATATTTAAATGTTATTTAGAAATATTTTTAGTGATAATTTTTGCAGCTTATAATCTCAAATTAATATATTAATAGGATGACAACTGCCCTTACTAAAAAAAAGTTCTAGGTACCAGTGGCTTATAATAAATTATAATTTAAATTTCATGTCTGAAATAATAATTAACTAAAGTAGGTCAAAATAATCAAATTAAGAAAGTTAACTCGTTTGTTAAATTCATGACTGCAATTTTGATACGATTTTACAATAAAAGTAACGGAATATATAACTGCTTATAACTTCTCTGTAAAAATTACAATACTAACTTTAATTTATATAATATATATTTATTTGTGTTTGATAATTTATAAATCATAAAACTTCTAATTAGAATATAAATAAAAAAATTGGTGTTGATGTTGCTTTTGGAAAAATCCTACAATTCCTTTTAAAACATTATCCTACATATTTGCATCAAAGCGTTTTTTATAATAATGATTTTAATTACTGTCGTATATCATCTATAATTGTCCCAACTATGCCATGTCTACTGTTCTAGGATTGATTTTTTATATTAATTATATTTATGTAGTACATAAACTAGGTTCTACAACTTATCAAATTTTACTGATAGTGAGTGCTTACCCACTACGTGCTATCCGTAGACTTGCTTATGAATATTACATTTAATTGAAAAGGGATATCAATAACTATAAGATACATAAAAACTCTAGGAAAATTAATTTTTATTTTCAAAATTGAGATTTTGGTAACAAATATTCAATGTCATCATGTATTTTTTAAGACGTCAAACTAGTGGAAAAAGTAGGTAATTCAAAATTACTAGTTGCGGTGTTCTAACATATGTTAAATAATATGGAAATTTAAAATTCAATTTGCTGAGTTTACAATATATTTACTCGTCTTATTTTTTTCGTGTGCTTTTCAACTGTATTTTTTGATAATTAAAAAAAAAGTCAGTACTTATTTAAATTTTGATAACAAAATTGGAATTCTATTTACATCTTTTATTCATAAAATTGGTGATAAGTATTCAATTAAGGTAACAAAAAATATATTGACGTAAACCTAGGTTCTTATGGTAAACTGTAAATGTTACCCTATTTTATTAATTTTATTATTGACGAGAAGCATACATTCAAATACACACATTCTTAAATAAATCATCTTTATTGTATGACAATGTTTAAAATTAAAAAAAAAATAACTGTGTTTATACTGAAAAATATTTTAATTTGTTAAAATAAATAATTATGAGTTCTTTTTTGAAGTAAAGAAATGCAAAAAATATGGATTTTGTTCTACTGACCGATTTTATAAAAATAAAATTTTGAGAACTCCTTATCCTTAAATGTTTTGATGTATTGTTTGTATTTATATTGCATAAAAAAATAGTTGTGCGAATTAAATCGAAAGCATATTTAGAACTCTTAAAAAGGAAGGGACGACTAATATTTTTTTTATAAAGATTTAAAACAAATTTCAGCTAATAATAATAAAAAATAAATATTTTTCTTCTTGTCTTAAACTTGTATTAATTTTTCAAACGTAACACAAAGAATTGATAAAAATAAAAGAATTAAAAAAATGTATAGCAGCCCAGGGTATCTATCCACAAAAGTTCGTTCAAGAAAGTATTGTTATTAAGACTGTCAGTTTAGACTCGTCAAAATAAATTATTATAATTAAAAAATACTCAATAGTTATGCAAATATTTTTAGGTTGTTTGCGGATTCCAATGTTCTTCAGAATTAACTTTTTAGAGACAGTGCTAGAGTTTTTTAAAGTAGGATTTACAAACATTTTTATAATTTTACCGTTCAAAAATCTTTTTCTCTTGGCGATGATATTTTAAAAAGCACACGTCGCGTCCTTCTCTAAAATTATCACTGCTCATTATAATTAATGTATTATTTATCATTTTAATAAATCACTAAAATCAAATAGTAGAAGCATGGCTTCTACTCGACAAATCATTTTTTTTTCAGGATTTTATTAAAATTATTCCAATAAAAAAATTAATAAATCAATACTTCTGATGTCTGCTTTAAAGCTTAGTTTTTTATTATGCAATTTTATTTTAAATAATTCATATTCATCTATTACAGATTTTGTGGATCAAGTCTAAACTTCTCCAAAATAATGAAACATGTTTTAATATAAAAATATATTTGTATATAAATACAAACAAATACACAATTTTAAGAATGATTTAAACTCAACATAACAAAAATACACGGTATTTTTTCATAATAATAATCACAACATAAATAGTTGAAAAATTAAAAAAAATCATAAAACATTTAAAATTAAACTTTTTATATAGATTAATAACATACGTTATTTATCAACAAATATATATCATATACAATTGAGTGAGTACCTTCACAACGAAGGGAATTCTTTTAAATTAAATACCCTCACTGTTAGATTCCTTTTTTTGTTCAATAGATGAATTATTCCAAGTTTGAATTTTCGCTGATCCAAAAATTATGTAAAATAAGTTCCCAAAGAAAAATACGCCTGCTGCTATTAAAAATACAATACCCCATTGATCTTTATTTGTCTAGAAAAAAAAACTAATTAATATAAAGAGACATTGAGAATGTACATTATAAACATTTGATAACACACATTGTCAGTAACAATAAATCCAACTATTAGTGGTCCCATTATGGATGTGATGTTCGCTAAACTGTTAGTAATACCCATTAATGTCCCAGCAAAATTCGGTGCTAAGTCTAAATGATTTGATAAAAATCCCGTTAATACTCCACTATTTAGGGTCAATGCAGTTGTCAACAAAACAATAGCACCTACTACTGATGTATTAAGGAAATATAAAGAAAAAAGAGCAAGTGCTCCGCCCCAGTGTGCTAAACTATTCCACATCTTTCTTTGATAAGTAGTTGTTAAATATTGTTTTTTGTTTATGAAGTCACTTATCCACGATATTACAAGAGTCATCAACCACATAGTCATATATGGAAGTGCAGACAAAAATCCGTTCTAGAAAAAAAATTCGTTCATTATTACTAAAAACCTGTATTCATTCATTAAATTTTTTCACTTACTGATTTTATATTAAATTTTAAAACGTAACTTAAATAACTTGGCATGTATGTTAATAGTACCCAAAATCCCCAATTTTGACTAAGATGAGCAATAAGTATCGCCCACATAGGAATCGATTTTACTATTTGAACCCATGGAGTTGGCAGTTTCTGTAAATATGATAGAACTAATTTTAAAATTAATACAGTAATAAAATAATAAAAAACAACAATATTAATAAAAAAAATAGAATTTGGTGTTCGACAAAAAAAAAAATATCTGTAAGTCGTCTAATATCTATGTTTCTTTATACAAAATTTATTCATTCGATATTATGTCATTATATAATATAAAATGGAATTCATTTGACTTCTTATAACCATTAAAATTTATTCATGACCTGAAATCATTTATTTATATAGTTTTTGTGTTCTTTTATGATGTAAACGTTATTTACCAACATAAAATTTACATACAAAAAAAAAATAGTAATTAAAAAAATTAATTGAATTTTAAATAATCCATCAATTTTTTTTATATAAATATCTTGGGTGTTTTATGTTAATAATATTAATATTTAATGTTAAAATAGATATTTACTTTATTAGTTAAAGTCAATTATTTAAGAATTATTTAGGTGTATTTATATTTTCTACAAATGTGAGGTAATATGTATAAATTGTAAATATTATTGAAAATTAATTCATTTAAATTTTAAAGGGGAAAGTGCACTTAGTGACATTTGTCAGTCGAATAACATTGCTCCCCATATATTTATTAATTAAATTTAGAAAAGTGTTAATAAAACTAACTTTAAAATTAAAACAGTTATCATTCTAACTTTAAACGCAAGGAGTGAGGGAATATGGGGCTGTTGTCCCCTTTTTTTGGCTTGGTAAATTTTCATAATCGTATATTATACAATTTTCATTTAATAAAATATTTAAAAAAAATATTTTTATGAAATGATATTAAGAATGCCAAGATTACCACTCTTCAGCACACTACCTGTTGAGCTGATAGTGAATCTAAATATTAAAAATTTATTGTGCCCTTCCATGAACAATTTTTGCGAGAGACCTTACTTTAATAATTATAATTTAATAAAATAAAATACATACTTGTGCTGATGTCGTGCTACTTAGAGAATTAATTATGTATTGTTTTTCCTCTTCGCTAATTGTTTTGTGTTCAGACGGACTATTGGCTCCGAATAAACACCAAATTAGTACCCATACTATAGACAGTGCACCAGTAACGTAAAAAATTGATGGCCAACCAGCAGTTGTTTCAGCTAATATACCTGCCACGGGTAATATTACCAATGGACCGAATTGAATGCCGCCAAACACAAAAGAAAATAAACGGCTTTTCTCTTCTAGTGGAGCCCATTTTGATAATAAAACGTTAATTGAAGGATATAAAAACCCCTAAAAAAGAATTGTGTGGTGTTAACTTCATAATTTTGAAAATATATCTAGTAAGGTTAAAAATATTGACCAAATTTTTAAGTGAAATAGCAAAAACATAAATTTACAAAAATTTATTATATATTTGAATATACATTATTATACGTTTTTCAGGTTATCTCCTTTTCTATTTGCGCATTGAAGCGATCAGACCTACCTTTCAACATAGCACATTTCAAATATATATATATTTCTTTTTTTTAGAAGGCATAAATTATGCACTATATATGAAAATTTTCTATAGTATGTACAATATAAGAGTTAAACTATTATATTTTTATCATATGTGCAAATTAGAGGGTTAATAATTTTTAGAAATTAAAATATTAGAATATAAATGAATTAGAAAGATAGTAAATAATTTAATTAGAAAAATGGTTAAATTAGATATGTCCCCGAAAGATTTTGTTGAAATAATGACGATTGTCATTATAAAAACAGCATACAGTTTTTCAAAAATCTGGACATGTTGTTTATATTTTACATATAAACACGTAAATAAGAATAATATTAGTATTTTTGAAGTGGGAAATTATGGAAAGGAATATCAACAACCGGTTTTATTCAATTTAATACAATATATAAGTATACGGGATTCCCTTTCTAAGTGAATATTGAGTTACTAATAACACGAATAGCTTTAATAAGTTATCAGCATAGTATACAATTCATAGAATTTATTTAGTGAGACTTCATATTAATACATCATTGCAACATAATATAAAATACAATTTTTAAATATTATTTATTTATGAAATTTACTCAACTTACTTGTGCCATACCTTGTACTACTCTATTCGCACACATTGCAATCTTACCTCCGTAAATAGCCGATACTGGTATTCCAATTGCTAAGATGCCATTGACAGTAATAGCGGCAGCTAAGAAATATTTGGCTCCGTATTTTTGAGCCATATGCCCAGCAAACACTTGGGTCATGAAATAACCCCAAAAAAATGATGTAAGTATCACACTTTTTGTTTGTTCATTCCAATCCAATACCTTGTTGGTAAAAAGAACTAATTGGTCAATAATAATAAATGTAAAAATGGGAAAGGTATATTTAGATAATGCCTAAGAAAAACGAAGGATTTTTGGAAATGGGCTTTTTGAAAAACTAGCAGTGGTAATATAAAGTGGGTAATAAATATTAGTCTATTATATCTATAGAACAGTGCATGATTTTGACGTTATAAAAGTAGGTATCAGCAAAAAAAAAGTTTCTTAACCTCTCTCGTTGTAAAATTCTGTGTACACCATTGGTGATGTATTGTTAAATATGATACTGAATATTTACTTAATTAAGAGACCGGCGATACACTCTTTGTAAAATACATAAAATACTTACATATTTTTCATTGGAACTTTGGTCAGTCATTGCTATTATAGCCACTGACAGATTAACTCTCAATGCATAAGCAATAATCATTCCTAAAAACATAAGCGTCACTTGTGTGTACCGTGCTCCCCATCGCGCTGAAAAATATTTAAAACTTGTTAAAGGACAATACATTATTTTGTATAACGTTAAATGTAATACACGTAAGTTACTGAAGTTTTAGAAATTGTTGTTTACTAAATTTTGTCACCAACACTGTAATTTACATATCAACTATTTTAATAAGTGAGGTATGGTCATAAGTAGGGAGGGAAACCCATCTAGTTCAATAATTATTCGTACCTAAAACGTTCAACTAATTTTTTATCTTCCATTTCATTACTTAATACCAAAACGTTCTATTTAATTTAAACATAAAGTTAACAATTAATTTAGTACATTATTTTTTTATGCAAAGCTACTGTTGGCCGTCTCCTTTCTTTTCAACAGAAAGTACGGACCGAGATAGCCGATTTTCTCGTTGTAGCGATTGCGTAACACAAACAGTACCTAGGTATTTAAAAGTCCCAATAAGTATATAATAAAAATTGATCGCTTGTGGCTAATATTATTTAAAATTAAAAATATTATTAATCTTAAACTAAAAACTATTAAACTCAAATAACCACAAAAAATTACTAAAAAATCGCGGATACGTATTTTGGAAACAATGTTACCATTATCAACGCTAAACACATACTCTAATTAATAATATTATCTATAATATTTTTTTAGTTTTTAATTAATAGTATTTTTAATATAGATCCAATAAGTATGACTGGACTCGGTCAATATTGCACGGAGTTCCTTTTTTATCTTTTCATTTCTATTCATTTACCGGTCGGCACACAGTAGTATACCGGCGTGTGGTCTAGGCTTCTGCTTCCAATCGGTTTACCGTGTCAATTGTCTTTTGACACAAGTGCTTTGTCGTTGTCACTTAAAATTACACAACCGCAATATGAAAATAATTCGCTGCGTCATTTTGGGTACGCTTCGGTCCACTTATTAAATAAGCAAGTCCGCTACTAATAATATTGATCTAGACGTTCTTGAACTTTACTGAGACAGTTTAAATGATTTTCTACGCAATGCAAAAATATCAGGATTAAGATAAAGTATGTCGAATGAAAAAGAGATTATTAAAAAATATTATTTCTCATAAAAAAATTGTGTTGATCCATACACTTTTCAATAGCATTATAACATTATAAAGCTAAAAATGTAAAAAATAAAATCGAGAATTTTCACATAAAAATAGCATTCGGTAGCCATTTTCACCGTGAAGACAAAATAAAGTGCATTACATTAGCTTTAATTTAAGATATATATAAAAGTGTCAGACTATCCGGAATACTTTCAAAAGTTAAGTGTAAAAGTAAATTTTTTGTGAAAAAGTTTTCATTTTAATTCCCCCTCTGTGGGCAGGTAAAAGGTCAGATTTATTATAAAAATTATATTGATTTGGTCATTTTTGAGAAAGTTATGGCAGTTTTAAGAAAAACTAATTGAAAAAATTTCGAAAATTAGCATTTTAAAATTTGTAATTTTTTTTTTAGAGGTTTCCCCCATTTACGGGGAACGAGGGAAATTTCTTGAATTTTTGACGGTAATGTTTTCAACTAGATACGATTTGTGATCTTTTGACGTATTGTTGAAAGCAATCGGTTCAGCGAGAGCTGAGAAAAAGTTGTAACAGATACAAAAAAAAAAAATAAAAAAAAAAAACAGCAGAGTAAAATTAATACCTTCTCAATTTCGCATTGAAGCTAAAACTGATTAAATTTTATTTAATCCGATTCATAAATAAAATGTTAGCATTGTAATTAATAGATATCTTTTTCATTTCATTTAATTAAATTTTATTTTCAAAGAATGTAATCGTTAATTTCTTTTTTCTTTATTATAAAATTCGCATGACAATACTCGATCTTATATCGATTTTTAATCTGTCCCGATTCAGCTCGCAACGTATAATCGTCTTGATAGAGATCGGGATCTTCTGCATAATGTAAGATAACGTTGTCTTAACGACAGACACACGCGCTTCCATATGTGTGTGACTCGGGTTTTTCTGCGAATCGTAATAAAGCGTAAAATAAAAAAATGTAAAGTAATTTTTATTGTTCGTAAATTACATAATTAAATTATGAGAGTAAGCGCTATGCGTTCACGTATGAAACGTCAATTATGCTGACCATTTGTATTATTACAGTAGTTTTGATAGTATTATAATAGCATACTACTATGACACTTAACTGGTTTTTTGGTTGATCGTAATTTTTACAATATTAAGAACTGATGACAATAATACAAACAATTATGTAGGACCCGGTCTTTAGTGAACGTATTGATTGGCAGTGTATTATACACTATCTGTCTAGCTTTATTGATAAGCAGTTTAACAGTTATCGACGACAGCACCTCAAGCGCACCAATAGATTTTATGGGCAGACAACTGGTTTAATCTACTTAATAATATTATAAATAACTAATCGAAATAGTAACTACAATTATTGCGCAATTGACAATCTATATAAAACCTGGTGGGAATTTCACTACTGTCTTCAGTGAACTATGTGCTCAAAATAGCTCTAAGCACAGAAGAAGTGAAGGAAACCTAGATGTCTCTTGAATGAAAAATAAAAATTAGGTTAGCAAATGAAGTCTTGCCGAAAATCCAATTTTCGACTGGTCGAGATCATTAGGGGTAATCAGTTGATACAATATATGTAATCATTTAGCACACAGAAAAGTAAGCAACGCAGAGATGATTTTATTTATAAATGGTGTTGACCCATTTATTCTTGATAAATTTCACACAAAAAAATGGAAATAAAAGCCAAGTACAAAATAAAAATGTAGTAATAGTGAGCTTGAAATCAGTGTTCGAATGTTATTTTTTTCGATGCTACGGTAAAAGGCGGCGTCAGATAAAAAGGATAAGATAGTAATACAGATAAAATAAAATCTTATCTGTGACAGTACGGTATCACGAAGATGACTTCAAAGTAGTATTGTGGCGGACGGTCACCGGCCGTGGGGTATTTGTTGAACTTTGTACCTCCGACATAATGTACACGATGATAATCAATCACTCAATTAGAACGGTGCTATCAAGATCGTGCACGTTACGGTGTTCCGTATGTCACAGAGCACCAAGCCCCTGTGTTTAACTGATTTTACCACTATTGTTAATGATTCTTCCCATCGTCCACGTAATTCATGAATGAGTACTGAGCCAGAAACTGGCCAAGTGTTAAGCAATGTAAATAAATGATCTTGCTTATGAAAATACGATTGAAGTTTATAATCTAAAGAAAAAGTAAATTTATCCACAATTTAGATACAGAAAAGTAATCAGAAATTTATCATTTAGATACCTAATTGCCGCTTTCCCACAACCTGTTTTTTTTGTTCGCCAAAAAATTTTGCTATTCATCTCTAATCACTTTTTTTTTTTTGAGAAAAGGGCACTATAACCATCTTAACCCCTAGTTGTGCTATAGTTTCACGCCTACCGAGCTTACCCATTTTGTAGAGTATGCTGAGCATACTATACTCCTTTATATAGTAACTGGTAAGAGTACTATTCCAGACACAGCTATAGGTAATAGGTAGCTTTGTTCTCTAAAAATCTTATCTGTGGTTCCAAATTTACAATCTTAAAATATTAATAAAACAACCCAGTACAGGGGGGTCGTGGCACANTAAAAAAACCCAGCACAGGGGGGTCGCGGCACAGTGGTGACGTGGCATAGTTGGATCAAGTATAATGATATCTGACAGTGATTAAAATCACTATAAAAAAAAAACGCTTCGATGCAAATCTTTAGATAGTGTTTAATTTTAAAAAATTGGTGGATCATTCCAAAAGCTACATGATCTGCTAGTTCCTTATTAATATCCTGATTAAGATAAAGTATGCCGAATGAAAAAGGGATTATTAAAAAATATTATTTCTCATAAAAAAATTATGTTGATCCATACACTTTTCAATATGTCATAGCATTATAAAGTTCAAAATGTAAAATACAAAATTGAAAATTTTCACACAAAAATAGCATTCGGTAGCCATTTTCACCGTGAAGATAAAATTAAGTCCGAAATTTTTTTTTTTCATAATAAAGTATACTACATTAGCTTTAATTTAAGATATATATAAAAGTGTCAAACTTTCCGGAACACTTTCAAATTTTAAGTTGAAAAAGTTGTCATTTTAAATCCCCCTCTGTGGGCAGGTAAAAGGTCAGATATGAAAAAAATATATACCAAATAATAGGTAAAGACATCATGCATCTATAAAAAAAAAATTATATTGATCCATACATCTTTCAAAAAGTTATAGCATTATAAAGTTAAAAATATAAAAAAGAATTTTTTTACAAAAATCGTATTTTTTTTATTAACTTTGATGTCTGTTTTCGCATCGAAGCTAAAAAAAATAATAATAACCAATTCATATGATTATTGATTTGAAGATGTGCTATGAAAATATTTAATGCCGGACTGGCCCATCTTCCCCTTTTTTTAAATATTTAACTGTGTAGATATTACTTTGATAAGCAGATAGTGTTGAGAGGGAGGAGAGTGGAACTTGGCCCCTTTTTCACAGTTCAATTTTTGTTAAAGATATATCATTCCTTTTTGTTGGCTTATGCAAGCAAAATACATAATTCTTATGAGCTACTAAAATATCAGAACGAATGACTTTTAGCTTTAAAGTTTTCAAATGAAAGTTGGATTTTATTAGTGTGAGACAGTTTATTTTTAAAATTAACAGTTTTCACCATTTACATTACATTTATATCTACATTCATAGATTTTACCATTTACTTGCACTATAAGACTTGCCTTTCTACTCAATTTCACATTTCTATCTATACAAGAAATGTCTTATAATTTTTATGACGAGTCAATCATAAAAATGATAACTTTGAATGTTTCTCATTTTGAAATGGTTTAACATTAAGGGCTACATTTTTTACAGTGTTCTTAAGCTAATAATGTCTAATCTATGTTTTAAATATTATAAGCCTTTCTTAATAAAAAAAAGACGTATGGAAGTTAGAAAAACTGAGAAAATTGTTTCGTGCAAAAACACACTAGCATTACTAGAACCTGGCGCACTGCCGTACGTTCGGATTATGATGACAAATTGTAATTGTCACAAATCATTCACTTTATTGATGAATAGCTGTAGAGAAATCTGTCAACCTAATACTATCTATGGTCACAATGTGCATTTGTTTTTTTAGGACAGCATGAAACACTTTCATACGTTTCATGTTCATAATATTAACTATGAAAATGTACGACAAAATAGTGCCCGACGTGCATCGTCTGAACCCGACCGAGTTGCCGGGGACTAAAATCTTTTTGTGGTTTTCAGGGCATTGCACTTCTACACTTCTATATACATAAAATTATATAATTTTTGATTTTTAGATAGAAAAACATAAAAGACAAATGAAAAAACATTTTAAAATTAAAACATATCGCATATGTTTTAGTTCAATATATTTTAAAACGGGTCGTTGTCATAAAAAAAAAACTTTCTGACATGATCTATTGCCATATTCAAACTTTAATTTTACTTATGTTATTAGTCGGAATTTTTTTAATTAGATCGTAGTCAACTGATACGTAGTTAGAATTTCATTTGGGTGGTAGAGTAAAAAATAATTTTTCTTTTTTAGTTACTCAATACTATAAACTTAACTTAATATATAAAATGTACGTTTAAATATTTTCGAGGGGGTTATTCACTTCTCCTGAATACACGTCGAGTTGTTAATGGTATATAGAAATAAGTCTATACTCCCTCGTACCCTTGAAAAATATGAAAGCGATGGGGGCTTTACCTCATTTGACAATTAATAGATTTGCTAAGACCTCATAAAATCTAGCAACGGCATTGAATAGCAGGTATATACAATTCATTATATACCCAAAACTTAAAAAAGAAAATACGGAATATGTTAAACATAGAATTATTTAGATCGTAACTATATCTTAAGATTAAATAAATATTATTGAATTCTAATGAAAAATTAACATAATTGATGAAATGTAGTGAATATCACATTTACAAATATTTAAAATTATTTTCTTCGTAGCATAAAAAATTTAAAAAATGTATGACTTTAAGAATCGTCAGTATATTAAATGAAATTACTTGTGTAAGATATTTCCTGTTTTTCGTGGTTCATTGTATGATTTTTATCACAAATTAAAAAATATTAAATTTTGGTTTTCTCGTTCTTTTAAATAAATTATATACAATTAAAAACAAAAGTATGACTGAGAAAGTAATACCAACTGTTATTAAATATTTGTATACGTCAATGTTCTACAACATCCGATAGAGTTCCACTACCATTTTAAGTAATGGAATTACCAACAATCATTGATTGCCATATCATTTAATAGATTACAACTAACTTCATTCAGATTATACTGCTATAGGCATATAGGAAAAAGGCGAACTTTGACGTGTTAGACTATAGTTTTTAATGGAAAATATGATAGCGGTAAGTAAGAAAATTAATGATTATTACGTTATTGCATTATTTAAATTAATAATATCTAGCTGTATTAAAATAAATATTATTCTACTCAAATAAGTGCTATATGAATGCTGATAATAAAAAAAAATTAGATTACATTAATAATCACATAGTAATATAAATGATCTATTGATTTATCGTTCTTTACTCAGATTGCTGTAAATTTGATGTATAATGGTAATTGAGGGTCAATGATGTCGTGCTCAAATCTCTTACTTAAATTTTGTCAATTAGCACTCAAACAATTTTAATAATGTTTCTTTTTTTATATAAAATATAAATAATGATCCAATAATTTCGTACAATAGAAGAACTTATTTATGATATACATCAATCATTACAATGTAAGGGTGTCAACTTAATTTTTTTAAATGGGAATACATATTTTATAATACAAATAAATGTGTGGGTTTTTTTTAATAGTAGTTTTAGTTTTACCTATTATCGAGGTAGACATAATTTCCATGCACTTAGAGCTATTGGTCCATTGTGTGCACCTCATACTGAATTGTCTTGATTCGGTTTATCTGGTTCTGATCCAACATAAGTGTTTTCTTCTCCTTTCCTGGCTACAAAGTCAGCATTTTCATTTCCAGTGACACCGTTGTGTCCTGGTACCCACGCTAGTATAACTTTGTTGAACCTCGATAGTGATTCTAAAGTTTCCTGCATTCGACGATAAACTTTGAATTCACCTGATCATTACAGAGTGCTTTCAAAGCTGCTTGACTGTCACTTAAGATAGTTATCTTCCTATTCTTGTATATCAGTAGGTTCTGAGCACCTACCAGTATCGCCATCACCACAGCTTGGAAAACGGAGGGTGTTGTGCCCAATGATATACTGACATATATTTGAGGTTGTAGACCCCAAATGCCAGTTTCTTAAATGCAAGTCACATTAAAAAGTAAAGGAGAGATTGTTTTGCTTATATTTTCTAACAGGTATGGTAGGAGAGGAAGAGTTGTATCTTTTTAATATCCAATATTTACTCTCTCTTTTTATTCAGTAGATTAATATAGATTAAAAGAATATAGATAAAGATAAATAAATCATGCATATTTTTTAAAACTTATTTTACATATTTTTTTAGCTAAGTAAAAAATAAATTACTATAATTTTTAATTCGCAAATATTTTACGTAGATGTTCTGAACTAATATATTGAAAAACTTTGTAGATAAAAAAAAAAAATGTCTACCATTAAAAATAGCTTTACTACACTCATTAGTAAAAGAACTATTGCTGCCCTGGATTGCATTACGTTATAAAAACCATTTTATTCAAATGTAAATGGTGATAACCTAGGTTATTAAATTTTACAGAGTTCATGTTTATGTGATGAGTTTCAAATAATTCAGTAATACCAGTTCTTTACAAAAATTTACTCATTTAAATTTTTTATAACAGTATGTACAACCTATATCATTAAATTAATAATTCTATTTTTAGTATTTCGAAATAAAATAAAATAACATTTTTAATTTAATTTTAAATTTAACACTTTTTTTTGTTAAAAATAAATGTTTATACTTATCATATTTAATTTTTCAACAAGTATAAAGATATATATATGTGGGAAAATGCAAACAGGCAATTACAGGAACAGAGCGAAGACGCAATACTATTATTTAATTTATATATTTATAAATTAATACACAAAAACTCTATTAAATGTTAACAAACAAAAATAACACATATATTTAATTACACACGAAAACTCTATATAAAATATTCACACAACACAGAAATAAAAATATAAAACAGAATACACTTATAAACTAAAAAATATACATAGAGACACGTCTTAGCCGACTCACGACTTGATTTAATCTCCCTCTATATACTTGATACCACTATCTATCTCCAGACCCTGGAAGTGGTGCCATCTAGATACCAATAGTACCCACATATATATATATATATATATATATATAATTTTTTTAATTTCAATTAGTATTGTTGAATATTAGAAATCTCTTCGGTCACCAGAAATTATTACAAAAATGGACATTAATAAAATAAATATATAAAATTGTTTTCATGATAATTTAAAATTATAATATAATAATAATAATAATAATAATTTTTACATTACTTAGTTCATTAATAATGATATTTGCCACCAGTCATAATTTGAGTTATCTTTATGTGCATTTAACCCCACAGGGGGGTCGCGGCACAGTGGTGACGTGGCATAGTTGGATCAAGTATAATGATATCTGACAGTGATTAAAATCACTATAAAAAAAAAACGCTTCGATGCAAATCTTTAGATAGTGTTTAATTTTAAAAAATTGGTGGATCATTCCAAAAGCTACATGATCTGCTAGTTCATTATTAATATAATGAACTACTTATACATTTTTCAAAAAGTTATAGCATAATAAAGTTAAAAATGTAAAATACAAAATCGGAAATGTTCACACAAAAATAGCATTCGGTAGCCATTTTCACCTTGAAGATAAAATAAAGTCCGAAATTTTTTTTTTCATGATAAAGTATATTACATTAGCTTTAATTTAAGATATATATAAAAGTGTCAAACCTTCCGGAACACTTTCAAAAGTTAAGTTGAAAAAATGAATTTTTTGTAAAAAAGTTGTCATTTTAAATCCCCCCTTGTGGGGAGGTTAAGGGTTAAATTAATGAAAAAAATATACCACATAAAAGGTAATAATATCATGCATCTATATAAAAAAGAATTATATTGATATGTTCATTTTTGAAAAAGTTACGGCAGTTTTTAGTAAAAAAAATTGAAAAAATTTCGAAAATTAGCGATTTTTAAATTTGTAATTTTTTTGGAGATTTCCCCCATTTACGGGGAACGAGGGAAATTTTTTCAATTTTTAAGGGTAATGTCTTCGACTAGATACGATTTGTGATCTTTTGACGTATCGTTGAAAGAAATCCGTTCGGTGAGAGCTGAGAAAAAGTAGTAACAGACACAAAAAAACATCATAGTATAACCAATACCTTCTTATTTTGTTGTCAATGACCTTTAAGAAGTCTATGTCATAAATTTCATAAATTTCTGAACTTTACCAGCACACACTTTATGTGATTCACATGGAATGACCCCAGTATAAGTAATAACGGATATATAACTTTTTATACTAAATGATTGACTTTTGTGAGTTTTTCTTCAATTATGTTAATCTTATTATAAAAAAAGGTTTAAATATTAATTATCATAATAATTTTTAATACAACTCAAATGCATTATATTAAATAATAAAAAAAATTTAGATACTCAATAAACAAAAGATATGCAGGTTGTTAAATTTTGTTAATGTTATATTGTTTATTTTCATAGATCATAAAATAATATACAGATTGTCAGTCTTCTAATATAAATGTTATATTTTGTATAAAGCCATATTATTTTCATAGTTTTCATTTTTTTAGAAAAATAGTAGCTGTAATGACTATGACTAAATAATATAAAAAAAAGAATATAGAAATAAATCAAAACAATTGTTTTGAAAAATGATAAAACTCGATAAAAATATGTTATAAAAAAAATTAAAATTAAATCTCATTATAATGTTATTTTCATTTGTCTCTCTTTGTGAGAAGTAAAAAGATAGTAAGGCCTATAACCAAATAAAAAAAAAAAAATTGAATTAAATCAAAACAATAAAAAAAAAATATATATACATCAAATAATATTATATACATGATTATTTTATCTATTTGTAGATAACCATAATTATATGCAAAAAATAAACCTATAAATGATTCTTTTCATTGTACAATAACATTTGATCTAATAGGTTTATTAGGAGTTAACCGAACCAACTGTTTAAATTGGCCAAATATATATTCAATATAAGATTTAGTGATTATTTCTATACCAAACTCTTTACACGTCTCGTCATATATATCTTGTAAATATGGTATCAAGCTATGATCTAAAGCTGGAAATAGGTGATGCAATGTATGATCACCAAATGTCATTAATGATACGATTATATTGTCGAATTCCAATCGTTCTGAACAGGAATCTGTTTGATAAAGACCCCAGTCAACATATTCCTCACTAGAAAATAATAATAGTGCATTATTTGTTGTGTTTTCATCAGTATTTAAAGATTTCAGTACGTAAAATACAAATTTTATTTAAATGTTTATTAAAATTATTACATATTTGCAATTTTTGAATAAAAAAATATATAGTTCAATCGAAATAAATTTCAAGAACTTAAAAAGTTCATAGAGTTAACGTAAAAAATTAGTATCATTAAATAATCTGAACGTTTTCTAAATTTTACATTTTTTTTTAAATCTTAAGTTATATAATTCCTGTATTTTTTTTTTTATAAATTAGGAATAATAATTTCATTGAATTTGATTATTTCTAGATTCATTAAAAGAACAGATATAACTGTAAATTGGTCGTATGAACTTATTTTTTTTTACATATAAAATGTTTTATTCGTGAGTTATTTAATGTGATAGTATGTATTTTAAGTTTGTGTAAACATATAATATATTGTTTAAAATACCTTAGTTCGTCTCCATCGTGGAAGTTTTCGGGATAATGATGAGCTGCACTAAATCCTATGAAGGTAAATGTGGAACTTGTTGATAAAATGACTAATAGCCACATGATAATCACGTCAATATACGCCAAGTGACCACTTATTAACAATATCATTGGGATAATTAAAGCTATTAAATCAGCCTTGTCATTCTTGAAATTTAAAGTTCTAAAATTAATATTGTTCTAAACACATTGATAGAATATATATATATATAACTAAAAGAATAGTTTCACAAATATGAGTTAATTTAAAAATGATTGTAAAACAATATGATTTAAAAAGCTATATACAAAAAAATATTCAAGTTGTTTTAGCTACAACGAATGATATCTTTTTGAATTTATATCAACTATACAAGATAATTAAATTGAATATACTACGTTGAACATTGATATATTTTAAAATAAAAAATATAAAATGTTTTAGTAAAAATATCAAGTCTCTTGACTGATATTCTTACAGGTATCGATTGATTTAAATCCAAGTTAACTACAATTAATGTTCTTAAAACGAGACAGTCATATAAACTAGTGCATTTTAACCTCATAAATGTAATTCAAATTAACATTCCACAAGTCCTGGTGCAATTGTACATGGCCACAACATAAGAAGTAAATTTAATTTTTCCCCTCCAAAAAATAATTTTTATATAATAATGCATATAATTTTGCTGATTTCTGTGGGAGCTAATAGAAAAATTGGAGGCTTAGCTTTCCAAGCCCTCCCCTAGTTCGCATTTGGACTACAACCGAATTTAGGGTTACAAACACTATACATTTTTTGCGTTTACCTATTATAAATTTTAATAATTCTTAAAATTTATGGTTAAAACGTAAAATTATAGTTTCAATTTTCACGCGTTATACTAAAACGCAAAATTCGTAAAACTATTTGACACTTACCTTCTACCTAATTGACCAAGTGTAATAAAAGGATAGACTACTGGAGTGCAATATGGAAACCAACGAATATGGAACGGTTTATCGGTACTTGGGTACCAATGAAGAAAAGGAAACAATAATGTTATTTCCAAGTCTTTCACTGTATTTGTATAGATGTGATGACTGAATATGTGCGATATTCTCCATTCGCTGCAAGGTAAAATAAAGTAAGATTTAAATAGTTTTAAAATACTGGAAAATACTAGTTTGTTTATAAAATATATTAAATGTTTGTTAAAAACATTTATTAAAAAATACAAAATAATTTAAATCACTTATTGGAACAAGGACCAGTATGGGTTTTTACGCTAATTGTATAATTTTTTATATTCTTATTATACATTTTAGCTTCGATGTATAGTTGAGAATCTATTACTTTTACTCTTTTTTTTTTTTTTTTTTGTGTGTTAATAGGCCAAACTAGTTAACTTCTACTGAAACATTTTTGTTCAACGATGGGTTCAAAGATCACAATCGTATCTAGTTGGAGTTAAAAGCGTCATAATTATAAAAAAATCCCTCACTCGTCTTAATAGAGGAAAATGTTCCAAAAATTATGGTTGTTATAAAACAGTCAATTTTGAAATTTTTAGAGTTAACTTTATATTGAATTAACTTAATAAAATCTTTACAGAATATTACAAAATTTTTATTGACAATATTTTAGATGTTTACCTTGATAATGACATATTTTTTTTTTTTTAACCATTTATTAACTAATATATAAGAAAAAGCTTAAAAATCACATTAACGTTTTTTTCTTATGCCAAGGTGTTTTAGAGTGTTAAAGTCAAAATGTTTATAATTCTCTGTAAACATGGCCAATTATGAAGCTTTTTACATAGCAACAGAGCAACTATATCATTCAAAGTTTTTTTATGTACTATATGTTCAAAAAAGAAAGACGTTTTGACGACTTATCTTCTATTAGATATGAAAATTTTATCATTATATTTGCTTCATTTATTTGAAAAATATACAGATCAAAACATGGTTTTAAGTATTAATACTACATTAATTGAGTAGGCGCGTGCGGCACCTACTCCCAGTCCAACACACATAATCGGATTGCACTCTTCCTTCCTTCTTTTCACTGTTTTATTAGTGTATTTTTTGTTTGTTATTTGAAGTGATTTCGGTTTTTTTTGTGTAAATTTTTGTTAAATGAAGAATGAATCTACTAACAAAGATTCATATTTATTAAATTGTTATATTGGGAAGCGAAATTTAAGTTAATTTTAGTATAGGAATAGTAATAGGAATTATTTAACAATTGTATTTTGTGTTGGTGTATATAATTTTTTTCAGGTGCTTGCAACTTGTCAGTGCCCACTACCTTACTATTGTTACTATTGATAATATTGTTAATTGTTTTATTATTTCTAATCAAAAATACATTTAGATAGTGAAACATATTTCTAGTCACAGTGTGCGCTAAGTCGGCACTTTAATTATTGTATTTTTGTGTTGTTCACTGTTGGCCTTAAGTAGGCAAACATTTTCTTCTTATATTGCTAGTCGCAGTTATAAGTGTATTATATTTAATTTCATTTATTTCACCAAAGTTCCTATACATTATTTTATTAATCAATTTTTTTTATTAGCTTTAATATGTATTAATCAATTGGTGTTTCGAGAATTATTCGTCTGTGTGTTTTTATAATAATCAAAAGAATTTTATAGTAAAAAAAAAAGAAAGGGTTATTATTGTTATTAGTTATAAAGATTTATTATTATTATTTATTCACATTATTATTGCTGTTTTGTTTTTTTTTAGATTTAATTTTTTATTATTGTTTGGCCTAAGTGGAAAATTTTTATCTATTATCTATTGATCCAAAGGGGATTTTATTGTTGAATTATTTTACAAATACAAGTTTGTAATACGTCATTTATTCATTTATTTATTTATTTCTTAGTTTTAATTAGATTATCATTGTTACCTGGCCATATCATTTCCCCGATTTGCGTAGTCGAAACCAGTGATGGGCATTTTCGAATATTTTAAACTATCGAATAGTTTTTAAAAATATTCGATTAGTTCTAATTAAAATTTTTATTGAGTACAATTAATTATAATAAGAAGATAATTAACGAATACTTAAAATAAATTATTATACAATTAATAACAGTAAAAAGTACCATTTTATTTATTTTTAATTTGTGAGTCGTTGGTAAAAACTGATAAATATGGGTTGAAAATTAATAAATATAGTTTAAAAAACTAAAAAAACACGCTTTTAAAGTACATCGAACTAAAAAGTTAAAAATAATTTTTAAAATAATTATGAACAAAAAATACTAGTATTATTGTGATAAAAGCGTGGGTGCTTTGTGCCATATTTTTCGTATATTGAGCGCCCGACGCTTTTATCACAATAATACTAGTATTTTTTGTTCATAATTATTTTAAAAATTATTTTTAACTTTTTAGTTCGATGTACTTTAAAAGCGTGTTTTTTTAGTTTTTTAAACTATATTTATTTTTTACTTTTTAGTTTCATGTTATGATAGTAGTTACTATCAATATCATGGTTGTTACGGGTAACGGGAAATCAGGGTTCGATTCTGGGGAGGGAGTCTGAGAAACGGCTACCACATCCAAGGAAAGCAGCAGGCGCGTAAATTACTCACTCCCGGAACGTGGAGGTAGTGACGAAAAATGACGATACGGAAATCATCCCTCGTAATCGGAATGAATACTTTATATCTCTTAATTAGAATAAATCGTGTTAATATATTAATTTTAATAGTAATTAGAATATATATATTTATACAAATAATGCGACTTAACTACGTAAAAGTATCATGCACTAAGTATAGCTGTGTTTTATGGCCGGGCGGGTCGGACTAACGTTATACCCGAGGTATAAACGGCGGTAGGAATATATATATATATACGTAAGGCGCATTAGACGCGGGCGTTATTGGTCAGTCAAAATAAAAATTTGTTTACATATATATAATATTGATGACAAGCACGCGTGTACGGGTACGATAACTAAAAATAAATTTTTATAGGAATAGTGTACCGTCGTATTGTGAGCGAGGCGTGGGGAGGGGTGAATGCGTATAACAGTCTAGTCTAGACAACGGAATATGCGATAACGCGTGGCGTTTGGAAAGTTACATACAAACAACATACAACATACAACATACATGTGAAACTAATAAAAGCGTATTAAAAAGCAGTTCTTTTTTCCGATGACTAATGATATATTGTCAGTTTTATCGGAAAGGTTTGTTCTATGCGCAACAGAAGTACTCGTAAATACTAAAGTCTTATTTTACACTTAATACCTTGTATACTGTTCTTAGTCTAGTATTATCTGCTCTTTTGTATTTATAGTTTTGCTGTTTTAATAACACTAACGATCTAAATAGGATTGTTTTAAAACTGTTTATTCAGGGTACGAAGATTATAAATAGGATACAATTAATAATAAAAAAAATTAGTGATGAGCATTTTCAAATATTTTAAACTATTGATTAATTATTCGAACTGTTTTTATACCACCGAATATTTTATTTTTAGCATAAACTATCAAATATTTTAAACACTATTCGAATGGAGGTACCGAATAGTTTTAAAAAATATTCGAATAGTTTGATAGTTATTATTCGATATTTCCCCATCACTAGTCGAAACCTCCCCATTCGGGGTTCTAACGTTTTGGCCAGAAGATCTTTCCCACTTCCTTATATAGCACACTTATAAATAGAATCATAGGTGCCGTGTTCGCGACATGTAGTTTGTAAAACTAACCTGCCCAAACAACTAAAATTAATTATCCAATCATTGAAAATTTGAAAATCCAATCATTAATCTATGTACGCGGAGGATTCAGAGATATTAATGTATCATATAACTTTCTTCCTGTTCAAATTTTAATAATGTTCAAAAAAACGTACGATATGAATGTATTAAAGCTTTTATGGATTCTTGTATTATTTTAAATGTTTACAGATGTTTCTATGTCTTTTTTTCTTGTTATTGATCTTCTTGCCTGGTGTAAATAGGTAACAAAGTCTTACTAATATTCCACCCACTTTCTCTGTTGTAATTTTCTGAACATTTTTTTATTTATATTGCTTTTTTGTACATTAGTTTGCCAAAATGAGCGTCTTTGTTCAATATTTTTGGACTTTGTCAAATTGAATTTCGCGTTTACTCTTTTTGTCATGTTCATCTACTACAGATTTTTCTGCTGTTTTGATAATTCACATCTTTTTCGTGTTCTTTTATTCTTGTTGCAATAATCTTCCTGTTTTTCCAATGTATAAATTACTACATGAATACAGCATTACATAGACTCCGGGTGTTTGCATTTCTGACAAACTATCCTTCGAGTTTCAAAGTTCAGTTTTGGTTCTTATTTTGAATTTATTTGCAGCTCTTGAAATGCGGCCGGTAATTGCTTGTATATAAGGCAATATTAGTACATTGATATGTATTCCTTTATTGTCATATTTGTTTTCGTTATCATTATTGAACGTAGTATTTTTTCTTTTTTTCGTTTCTAAGTGCCTTGTTCATGTTATTGATTGTGTATCAATTATTTTATAGTGCTTGTTGTAAATATGTTTTATTTCTCTCATGTAATCTTCGTTATATATTCTTACAGCTCATTGTAAGTTATAATCCCATTTTTTGTGAGGAGCAGTGGTGTGAATCGATATGTATGTGTCGGTACGTGTGCTTTTTCTTTACCCTCCTGTGCCAAAATTCCCATTTGGCTGTTTTTTTTCTTGTAAGTCCCTGGAGGAAGGTATTTGTTCATTTTTCTCAGTTTCCATTGTGAACCGTATGTTGGTGTGTATACTATTTAGATTTTTCAAGAAAGATTTTAGTTGATCAACGCCATATTGCCATAATATAAATATTGAACAATGAAGGTAATTTTGGTGAACGAATGTATAAAAAAGCAATAGAAATCGAAAAAGTCCAGAAAATTAGAAAAGAGAAAGTGGGTGGAAAATTAGCAAGACTTGGTTACCTATCATACACCAGGCAAAAAGAAGATCAATAAACAGCAAAAATAATAACTTAATGAGTAAAAAATTATGTTTAACATATCAGAAAATTGCTGGTGTAGAAAAGGAAGAGCTAAATGCCAAAAATTTCGTAAACAACAATAAAAACAAAAATCAGACGAAAACAACAGATAATGAACATCGACGTTATCAGCCGACATAAAAACAAACTGTAAATAAGCCAAGCCGACAGTTTAGTTACAACCACAAACTGTAAATATTGCTCCGATGGTAGACTTTGCAACAAGTCCGAAACTTCAGTGCAAAACTGAAATCATGGATACATCTTTAAACATTTCAAATAATAAAACGTAGTTCTTTAAACTTATATCAAATTTACAAAAGTGATTTTAATCACCGTCAGATATTAATCAATACTAAATTAAAATTATACTTCATCATCTATGGTCAACCTGACTGTACTTAAATTTGTTTTATTTAAAATTGAATTAAATGTTGGCCTTTATTGCGTAAAAGAATTTACTATAAGCTATCTAACATAGATTATTTAAATATTCAAAGCTTTGACCAAATCAGTTATTACTATGTTCAACAAAATAATTAGTTGTTAACAATCTTCTATTGACACAATTACTATTGACTATTGCGAATCTGTCAAAATAGATAAAATGTGTTATGTTTTATATTTAAAATAATTCTTTTAACTTCGATGTAAAGCTGAGAAGGTATTAATTTTACTATGATGTGTTTTTTTATGTCTGTTACTACTATTTCTCAGCTTTCACTGGACCGATTTTTCTCAATAATACGCCAAAATATCACAAATAGTATCTAGTTAGAAACATTCCCCATAAAAATGGTGGAAATATAAAAAAATTATATTGATTTGTTCATTTTTGAAAAAGTTATGGCAGTTTTAAGTAAAAAAAATTGAAGAAATTTCGAAAATTAGCGATTTTTAAATTTGTAATTTTTTTGGAGATTTCCCCCGTTTACGGGAAACGAGGGAATTTTTTGGGGTAATGTCTTCGACTAGATACGATTTGTGATCTTTTGACGTATTGTTGAAAGAAATCAGTTCGGTAAGAGCTGAAAAAAAGTGGTAACAGACACAAAAAAAAAAAAAAAATTTATAAATATATAAAAAAAAAATAAAACACATCATAGTAAAATTAATACCTTCTCAGCTTCCCATCGAAGCTAAAAAATATAGTTAAAAACTAAAAACACGCTTTTATAGCACATCGAACTAAAGAGTTTAAAATAATTTTTAAAATAAGCTTAAAAAAACAATAATAAATGAAAAATACTAGTATTATTTTAAAAATTATTTTAAACTTTTTAGTTCAATGTGCTTTAAAAGTGTGTTTTTTTTAGTTTTTAAACTATATTTTTTAAATATAGCTTTTGGAATAATCTACCAATTCTTTAAAATTAAATACTATTTACAGTTTTGCATCGAAGCGTTTTTTATGATAGCGATTTTAATCACTGTCAGATATCTTTATACTTGACCTAACTATACCACGTCCCCACTGTGCTGGGTTCTTTTTTTTTAAATATAAATTTTCCTAAAAATAATAACTCGAATCTAATATAAAATAAATTATTTTATAAATTAACTCAACTCATTTTATAACGATAGAATAATTAAAAATTATAAACTACTTTTTTATTAAAAATATTCAACATTTTGTGTTATGCTCTTATTCTAATAAATTGTCCAATTAAAATACATACCGCACAGAAATTAATCCTAGTTGCATGTAATACATTCTCCAGTTATCTTTCAGATGAGTAAAATTATGGCTAGCTACAGTACCTACACCTAAAATGATTCCAGATAATATAGCTAAAGAGTAAATGTTTGTTTTTGCAGCTAAAGCGCAAGTAACTAAAGCCATAAACATCAAAATATCGACCGTTAAAATAGACTTGAGAACAGATTTTTTAAGTTCTTTGGAAGAAAGTTTTTTAGCCACTCTGCATTTCAGTACATTATAGAAACCATCTGGTTTGAATGTAAATGGCGATAACCTGTTGGTCGTAGCATCACGAACGTAGAATTTATTTAAAATTTTATTTACTGTATCCATATTTATGTGATGGGATTCAAATAATTCTGTAATATCCGTCCCCTAAAAAAAGTTAAGTGTATAAATAAAAAATATTAAATTATATTAAGCTTTGATGCGAAATTGAAAACCTGAGAATTTTAAGAATAATAACCCGTATACTACCAGATATGTTTTCTTTTAAATAAAAGTATTTTTAAATATTTCAATATTTTTAAAAGTAATGACATATATTTTAGTATCATATTAATAGAATACCATAATAAAATTTCATTCTGATTATTATATTTAGATATAGTGGGTTATTAGGTTTGGGTTAAAAGAATATACTGAATAAAATGTTAAAAATATGTAAATGAATTAAAAATACAAACATAGTTTTTACGAAAAAAATATTTAATTGTTAAAAAAGATTTATAAAATGTAATGTGATGTTTAATATTTTATAATTAACCAAAATTCACTATAATTAAAATAATTTTTATAAATTTTAATAATTATTATAAAATGATTAAGTGAAATAAGGTGGGAATATTTTATATTAAATGTGTATACAAATCTTTTTTTTTATTTTTAAAAAATGTTATTAATATAATTAAATAATGTAAATTTATTTATAATCAAAATTTTATCATTTTTTGGCAGAATTATATTAAGATTAAAAATGTAATATTTCTTAAACACGGATAAATTAAAGTTTTAAGTTTTATCATAGAGTAATCGTTTATTTTAATTGTATCTTTAAATAAAATTTTATGAATATTATAAAAAATAGATAATTATATACATTAGTATTTAATATAATCTGGGTATAAGTTTTTAAGATTATGAAATTATTATCAGTAATGAAAACAATGAAAAATATTCTGGTATTATCCATTGGCATACAGGAAAAGTCTTGGTGGCCTTTCTACAAAAACTCATTAACATTTAGCAAAAGAAAAATCATTGATATTTTCATGATAAAAAAATATTGAAAGCACTAGAAGTTATAGTAACGTGAATACTAGTTAATATTTTGAAGTAATTACGTTTTATCAATACTACAGATATGCTTAATATTTTTATATATGTTTTACTGTAGTATCAAACGATAGCCGTATTATAATGAATATACTAGAAATAAATGTAATTATTTTTTCACTAATAATTGGTCATAATTGCAGAATCTTATTCATAGAAATTTTTAAAATAATCAATACTACTTATAATATTTAATAGTAATTTAGTATTGAGTATTAAGTAGTATTAAGAATTTTAAACATTTTCATGAATACAATTCTGAAATCATGATTAATTATTAGTGAAAAAAGAATTACATTTATTTCTAATATTTTCTTTATAACGCATCTATCGTTTGATACTTACAGTAAAATAAATATGAAAGAATTCAAATTTTTGCAAACTTTGGGATTTTGTATAAATTTAACTTTAAATTTTTGTTCAAACTTGATCTTATTTAACAAAATTTTAGGTTTTAGCATGTTACATTTATAATAAATAATAGTGCTCGAAAATAATCTCGGGTTGTGGATACAAGGTATTAGCAAGATAAGTTTATGGATTTTGTTGTCTATTATATTTTTTAATACCTTTATTTTTTGCTGGACGTCTTATATTGTGAAAGACAATACAAATTTAAAAAATGCTGTTTAGGGTTGGCGTTAATACAGGCCTTTTATAGTTGGTATAAAAGACGATCGAAATGCAGCATTAAAGATTAGATATTCCTGTCATTTAAGGCCTTTAAATGGGTTATCATATCATTGAAAGAAAAAAAAATAATGATATCTTATTCGCATCATAAATTTTGTACAAAATATTAAAGAATTTACCAAGGTAAATATGTTTAATTTTTTTTTAAATATGTTATTATAATAATTCATTATTGAACCATTATCCATATTCAAGCCCCTTGAAATGTTTTCCTAAGAATAACGTTATCAATAATGCATACTATTTAAATTTCCGTAATAATGAATGTCAAATAATTGTATTAAAGGGGATCAAAACCAGTAACATACAAAAAATTCATAGGCACTGTAATCTCATATATATTCTTTATTTGTATTAATTACATCAGGATATTATAGTGGGCTAATAGATATACATCATAAATGATTTTTTTCTTATTAAGTTTCTAAATTATAAAATATGAAAATCATTCAAAATTATAAAATAGGGTATGTCAATGAGGGATTTATCCTCCAGTAATCTCCCAAATAACTGACATTGTTCCGTAAAGCTATTTAGTAGCACAAAAATATAATACATATAAAATATTCCTCTATTTTATATCCATTAAGTTCATTAAGTCAAAATATCTATTGCATAGGAAATAATTAAAATTGTACTGACTTTAGTCAACTTAAACCATTGAGATCCACCAGGATGCTTTGATATCCATTCGTTAAGATCGTACAATTTATCATGTACTCTCCAAAGGTTTTCGGCGCCTTCTTCCTCTTGGCGTGCCTTCATCCATGCATCCGCAGTTAAAATATTTTTTTGGGTACATTTTAAGTTACTCAATAACTTCCAACTGCTATTTCTTGATTGAGGTGCCATCAGTTTATTTCTAAAATCCATTATGAATTAAATTACATGTTCACCAAATATTATTTTTATAACAATGGTCATTTAAGAAAAAATAACATAATCATAATAAAGCAATTAAAAACAGGCCCAGCAATTATTTTGGCCTAGGGTATATTTCAGGAAAATTGTTTAAAGAATGTTAATTACTAAAATAATTCTGATTTTTTATTTGTACATAAATAACAATTATTTTTCAAATCACAGTGTCTAATAATATTGATAATAAAATATTTAAACGTTTTATGTATTATAATTTTTTTCTTATAAATGAGTATTAATGTATTAGTATTAATTTCATAAAAATGAATACTGATATACTAAGATAAGACTTCAAAAAGGTAACCAATAATTTATAAATTAACTGTTTAATCAATTTAAAAATCAAATAATTTAAGTGCTTATAAAGTAAGCTTTATTTATTACAATATAATAAATATCTCCATTTTATTTTGTATTAATTATATAATTGTGTATAATTGTCTAAGCCCGCTAAAATTTGCACCTATGATCAACTATGGCATTTTGTATCTAAGGTATCTTTAGAAAATATATAATAATCATAGTATAGCAAGTTAAATCTAATTATTAAACCGGTATTCACAATGACCTTCATAAATGTTGTTATGAATTATAGAAAAACATATTTCATTTTTAAATTGTTTTAAGAAAGTGTTTAACTTAATAAGAATTACACTACCAAGGAAGGGTACTGAGGGGAAGGGGTCTTTACCTTTTACAAATTAGTGTAGTTTATAAATTGATACTTATCTAAAAAAATTACATTTTCTTTCGTTTTCTTGTTATTTTTAATAAATTATTTAAAAATACGGTTAAATTAAAATAAATGTAAAAATATTATGAAAAACAAAAAATATTTTTAATGAGAGAAAAAAATTATTGTAGCCTCCTTAATGTTAGAAAATTTATCCTACGCTTATGAGGAGGAAGATCATAACTGAAATAAAATAAAATTAACAAACTTAAAGTACATTTTATTTCTGAGAATGGCTAGTAAAAAATTTAAATATTCGCCTGAAGAACATCCCTAAATTAAAATCAATAAAAAATATGTTAAATTTGATTGTTAATTTACCAGTCTTCTAGTTGATTGAATTAGGGTGAATCACTTATAAAATCAGAAACTGTTAAGGAAAATACATAAAAAAATTTTTTTGTGGATAAAAACACAATATATATTAATTTTTGAATTTTATATTAATAAAATGTTACCATGTATGCCATAAATGTACGACTAAAAACCCAATAATAATTAAAAAGTCTTTACTTTTTGAAGGTTCTGGTTCAATTTTAATATTTGTTTTACTGAAAATAAAATTTTTTATTCTAATTTGGGTGTTTAATATTAAAAAAGTTCTGTTTTTATTAAGTTCCGTACAATATCGTGTAAACTGTGAATTTATTTAATATTTTGCAAAAAACGTTTGTAACTCAAAAGAATTTTTTTGTAGAGCGCTTTAACTAATATTCAAAAAAAAAAAAATACTCATAGTAATTTTTTTATTTTTATTTTATACATTTATACTATAGTTTAATTGTATTATATTATTAAATACTGTATACTATAGGTATATGTAAATAAAAATCACAAATATTAAAAGCGCAGTAAAAAAAATTACTGCAAGATGAAAATTAATAGTCAATTATTTTCAGCCTTGGCATAAATATAATAATTCTAAACCACTAAAAGACTTAGTGTTTATAATAACAAAAATTGTTTGTGATAATAACTGTTAAATGAAAAATTAAATTAGTTTTTAGTTATAGTAACTTTAAAACCTATTTTTCTAATCATACTTAAGAACTGCAAATAATATTTTTATTTTATTAAATTGATGAAGATTTCTTGTTTGTGATTTATAATTTAGGTATTTTTAGAGTATCATTATTTAATTATATTCTATATTATTACATAACGTCACGTAACATGAAAAACTTCCTTTATACAACAAATGGGAAATTGAAATTTTATTAAGACCGGTTTCAAAGATTAAAATACTGTCTAAAAAAATTAAGATAAAATATTTTTTTACATCAAATGGTAGGAATAACAAACTAAAAAAAGAATTACAAAAATAACCATTTTTGAGTTTGTGCACCGACCTGACAATATAAATATTTTTGTAAAGTTCATTTACAAATATCAATATTTTTGATGATTTTAATTATAACGTAAACTAATACTTACGGATGTAAATTTTATGGACAAAAAACTTACAGAAACATAAATGCTATACATTATTTGATTCACGACACTAATTCAGATTGTTATACAACTATAAAATTAACAATTAAATAAATTAAATTTGTATATTCATTTAAAGAACACTTTTTGGTTATTTTTAAATCAATCCATATAAAAAAAATTAAAAACTACATACTAAACACGTCCTTTACTAAGGAGTTTTAAAAGTAATGTGCGAGTTTAACCTTGGAGTTAGTGAGTTAGGTTTTATGACTTACATGTAGTCTTGGATATTGAATTCTTAATTTTTTTAAATCTCAATATAATATATTTTACATCAAATACAGGTATTCTTGTGTGACCTAATTTTTACGTAGTAATCAAATTGAAAAAACAATTAGTCTTTTAATTTTGTAATGCATTTTTAAAAGCATAATTAAAATATTTTCGTGGTATTTTGCAATACATTGTAGACTTTTAAATTTGAATGTAATTTTTTAATAATCTAAACTATATAATTATATTTGATGTAACTTATAAATCCGTTTTCCTTACCCAATTAAAGTTTCAAAAGTTAATTTGAAAAAGTTAATTTTTTGTGAAAAAGTTGACATTTTAAATCCCACCCTGTGGGCAGGTTAAGTGTCAGATTTATAAAAAAAAGTATACCAATTGATAGGTAAAGACATTAAACATCTATAAAAAAAAAAATTATATTGATTTGTTCATTTTTGAAAAAGTTACGGCAGTTTTTAGTAATAAAAATTGAAAAACTTTCGAAAATTAGCGATTTTTAAATTTGTAATTTTTTTGAAGGTTTCTTCCATTTACGGGGAACGAGGGAAATTTTTTCAATTTTTGAGGGTAATGTCTTCGACTAGATACGATTTGTGATCTTTTGACGTATCGTTAAAAGAAATCCGTTGAATGTGAATAATTTAATATAAACTGAACACAATTATATTAAAATTTTGACGGTCATCATTTTTTGGCCTAATTAGTTATGAAGCGTTTCAACGTATGACAACAAAAAATCTTAGTCTGGTCAGTGATCATCAAGGCTGAGCATAAACGACTTAATAAGTTAAAGGTTTCCTCTTAACGAAAATATTTCGATATTATGTTAACTCCATTTCTCTTTCATTTATTTAACGAACAATTAACGTATACAGACAGATGCATTAACATTAACTACTTACTTAATAAAATTTAAAAATAATATTGATATTTTATTAACATTAAGTATTTTAGCTTCGATGCGAAGCTTAGAAGGTATTGATTTAATAAGATATGTTTATTTATTTTTTAGCTTCGATGCGAAGCTGAGAAGGTATTGGTTTTACTAAGATGTGTTTATTTATTTATTTTTTTTTTTGTGTCTGTTACCACTTTTTCTCAGCTCTCACCGAACCAATTTCTTTCAATGATACGTCAAAAGATCACAAATTGTATCTAGTCGAAGACATTACCCTCAAAAATTGAAAAAA